TTGGGGGATAAGGAGGTGGAAAATTATTTTTTTCATGGCTACTAATACAACATTCATTCTGGAGCCTATGGGTCAAGGAATAATTTTGACTTTCATGTCTTATTATTTAAGAAATATATTTTGTAAGTCTATATTGTTGCCATAGTTAGCGATTCCTCTCATGGACCTGGGCAAAATAAATTGAAAACCTTCTGGAAAGGATTTAGCATTCTCTATGCCATTAAGAACATTCATGATTAATGGGTAAAAGTCAAAATATCAACATTAACAGGAGTTTGGAAGAAGTTGATTGCAACCCTTATGGATTACTTTGAGGGGTTTAAGACTTCAGTGGTGAAAGTAACTGCAGATGTGGTGGAAAAGCAAGAGAACTAGAATTAGAAACGAAGCCTGAAGATATGACTGAATTGCTGCAATCTCATGATAAACCTTTAATGGATGAGAAGTTGCTTCTTATGGATGAGCAAAGAAAGTGTTTTCTCAAGATGGAATCTACTCCTTTGAGATGCTGTGAAGATTGTTGAAATGACAACAAGAGTTTAGAATGTTACATTTAGTTGATAAAGCAGCAGCAGGGTTTGAGAGGATTGACTCCAATTTTGAAACAAGTTCTACTGTGAGTAAAATGCTATCAAACAACATTACATATTACAGAAAATCATTTGTAGAAGGGCTCAGTTGATGCGGCAAACTGTATTGTTGTCTTATTTTAAGAAATTGCCACAACCATCTTAACCTTCATTAACCACCACCTTGGTCAGTCAGTAGCCATCGACATTGAGGCCCTCCTCCAGCAAAAATATTACAGCTCACTGAAGGTTCAGATGATGGTTAGCATTTTTTAGCAACAAAGTATTTTTTAATTAAGATATGTACAGTATATTATTTTTTTAAGACATAATGCTATTGCACCCTTAATATACTATAGTGTAAATGTAACTTTTATATGCACTGGGAAACCGAAAAATTTGTGACTCACTTTATTATGATATTCATTTTATTATGGTGGTCTAGAACCAAACCTGCAATATCTCTGAGGTATGCCTGTACTGATACAGATAGGGAAATACCTGCATCAACATATTTCAGCCTGAGTAAAGATTTTTATTTTGAAATTTTCTAAAAATCGGAGGCATGAACTGTAAGAGGCACATTTCACATTAATTAAGATTCTGTGGAAGGAAAATTTTCCCTCTTTGATATTCGTGGTTCTCTTTTCCTTCTCTTACTAATCTAATTCCTCACCATCACCACCACCAAAAAGAGAGGATGTGGTGGGACAGCGGGGGAACCTGGAGATGAAACTGGCATTGTAAGTAATTTCAGATAGATTTATACTATCAAGTGCTTTCAGCCAAGGGAGAACTGGAATATTAGTGTGATATAGTAAAATGCACTCTATTACAGGTAATTATGCAAATTTAGAATATTATGAACCAAATATAGATGTGAACACTAAAAGCCTGATTTGAGCATAAGGATATAAAATATTCCGTGAAGGGATAGATCCATGTTCCAGCCAGCCTGGTATTTTGTCTCTAACAGAAGTATCTAAAAAATGTTTAGCAGAGTCTGATTGCCTGCCCTTGTATCAATAATGAAAAATTAGAGATGTTTCACCCCCAATCTTGGATTTCCTTAACCATAATATATCTATTGCTAATTTATTTAAACCTTTAAAACTTGTAAATAATTTATGACTAAGCGCCTATTAGTATTGTAAAAAACTTCATTTTTTTAATTAGCTGACATGGTAATTAGTATTTTATTTTATTTACCTAAGTTTACAATAATTTCAAGTTCCTGCAGGTGTTTTGCAATTATCATATTTTACAGTTTTGTAAATAATCTATGTTCAATTTATTTATGTTTCATGATTTGCTAAATTTTTATTATTTCCTCTTCATCATTTTTGAGTGGAATCTAGATTTTATAAGTCCTGTCTCAGTTTACTTAAGAGGCATACATTGTGTTCTCTAGCATCTGTGTGATAAAAACATTCCACTGTAACAAAGTACCTTTAAAAAAAACATTTAACAAGCTTATTTTGGCCTCTCGTTATACTGTTGAAAGATAGGTAGGACAGTTATGTATTTACTTATTCTATGGCAGAGAGGAATTCCTTTAGGGTTTTTTTTTTTTTTTTTTTTTAAGCTCTCCTATCGAGTTCATTGCTGTTAAAGTTTGGAGTCATCCTTTCCAAGGGACCAGGGTCTTTCTCACTCTCCAGCATCTATATATATAGGTCTTTTGATCTTCTGTTCCTTGTGTCTCCCTGCAGGCATATGTGTCATTATCTCAGCAGATGGCACCACCTAGTCCAAGCAGCAGTACCCCTAATAGTAGCAATGGGAACAATGGCAATGACCAGCTGAGCAAAACCAACCTCTACATCCGGGGGTTGCAGCCAGGCACTACTGACCAGGACCTCGTCAAGTTGTGTCAGTCGTAAGTTGGGGTATGTGTGGGTAGGCTTCCAGGGACAATACAGATTTGGCGATGCCAGTTTCTTGCCAGATACTCTTATCCTGAAATGCAATATTATTCTGCATAGTCATGAGGTTTCTCAACAGCCCCTCTTAAAGAAATTCTACCTATTACTAATATATAAAACCTTTGTGTGTTCCTCTGAGGAAAGCCAAGATAGGGCTGGCCTTCGAAGCCTGGTATATGATTTTGTTTCCAGCAGGTATCTAGAATTGATGGTCTTAGTGGAAAGATTCCTATTCTTACATCTTGAAGAGAAATGTTCAGTTTCTCCAAAGATATTGATTATAAGGCAGTGAGAACTGGCAGTGGGGCTAGAAGAAAGTGTGACTAGCCAGTTGAATTATATACTTACTTAGAAGATTTTCTGCTGCTAGAGATAGTCGTAGTGAACCAGAGGAGTCCTCAAATTAGTGGATAAAGAAGAAGGTGGAGAAAGAGGCTGTTTACTCTGCATCTCCCTTTAAAGACTTTTGGGGTTCTTTAGAGTAGTTTTGAGTCATGAGGTGAAGAAAACTACTGTGGAATTAGCTCATTTAGGAATGCTTGAAAAATTGCAAGGGTGCAGAAATGCTAGCTCAATTCCATTTGGCAGAAAAATATGTGTTTCAAATAATATAGTTGGGGGAATGATTAGAGGAAAAAGTCTGGGGTGGGATGGGGACATTAATGGAGAGAAGGAAAATTGAATTTGGGTAAGTGAATGGTAGAAAGAGATAGAAATGGGAACCTTAGACTATAAATTTACCATCTTTTAAAACTTTTGCAGTATAACAAGTGTACATAAAGTGCACAAATCATAAGTATATATACAACAATGAGTGTTCACAAGGTGAATACACCCTTGTTATCAGATAAAGAAATAGAACATTACCAGCTCTTCAGAAGTCTGCCTCTCAGTTCCTATCTCCTCCCCATCCCCAAAGGCACCTACTTGAATGTGAATAGTGCTGCTATGAACTTGAACATGTCTTTTGGTGTATGTGTGTACACATTTATATTGGGTATATACCTAGGTGTAAAGTTGCTGACTCAGGATATACATTTGTCCAGTTTGTAAATACTGCTAAATAATTTTTCTGAAGTGGTTAAAGTAATTGATACTCCCATAACAGTATATATAAATTTCGGTGTTTCAAATCCTGGAGGGGCAGAACATTTTGCACCAAAATTTAGTTGTATGAGGTATCAGATGTACTCTATGAACCCCATACTCTTCTGAAGTAGTGGTTTGGTCCATGCAAATCATATGGATTTTGCTAGCACCAGGCTACACAAACCCAATCTCTGAAGGCTAGATGTATATATAAAACTGGTTCTTTTACCACAGCTTACCTTGCTAGAAAAGTATTTCAGTGGACCTTAGTTTAGGACTAGTAATGTTTGGAGGGAATGGGAATTGGCAGAAATGTTGGTTTATGAGGGAAAAGAGTTTCATATCAATCTAGTTCCTTGATTTTTATACCCCGTGTTTCTTGTCCTAAATATGATGTGCTACAAAAATCTTCTCACTCCACAAGACGGAGAAAAAACTCAACTCTATTTTACTATACTTTTAGACATTCATTTTGCCCTTTTCCAACTGTTGCCTTATTTTCTGCTGTGTGAGAATAGTCAGAGTCAGCATGTAGGATGGAAGTAAGGAGCCCAGTAGGGGACTGTGGAGAAGTAGGAATGAGACAGGAAGAGAATAGGGGGGCTAGATGAGTGATGCTGAAAGGGAGGCTGAGAAGAGCAGGTGGTAGAACTCTCATGATGCTTTGAGGTGGGAGTTAATCTTTCTAGGAAGGATGTTTTCTATGCATAGAAGGACTTCCTGCCTTTGTCCCAGTTGTCTCTCTCTGAGTTGTAGGGGAAGTAAAAGTTGCTGGATCCTAAGCCATGGTGGGCAGGAAGGAGAGGTATGGAGTCTGGGGCTGGAACTCCCGGTACTCTTGGAGGGGCTCCTTCCTCTGAGGAGGAAGCGGCAGTGACCCAGCTGTTGCCAGCTGCTGTGGAAGTTCTGAACTTAGTCTCAGGCTGCTCAGACCACAGCAAGCTCCACCCTGGGGCCTTGACAGGGATAGCAGCATGTGTGTCCTCTGGCCTAGAGTCTCATGAATCCCCTTCCTTTGCCTAAATTTGGGAAAGAATCCAAGTATGTAGCCCTACATCCACGTCTCTCCCACCCTTTTTAATGTGTTCTTTTCCCAGCCTCCAGGGCGTAGCTTCGCTTATTCTCTCTAATCCATTGGGTCACAGAAACCCCACTACAAAGTTATTGAGAGGCCTCCAAGGAGTGAAACAAATATATCAATCATCCTATGTTTTTTAGGGATGAGAGGTAAGGTAGGAAAAAAATGCTTATTTGGGGTATTGGTCTCAAATTCAGCCCCTGCCAACTGTTTTCAGTTAAATTTTGTACTTTTGACTTTGTTAGTGATTTCTGTTCTGTCTCTTTAATATTTTCACCCTCCTGGAGTGGAATGTAGAGACTTCTTTCCAGTGGAACACTTTAAATATAATCCCTGACCTGTGATACCTCTCTGCTCAAGTTTGGGGAACTCCACATGACTCTGCTGGCAAAGTATAATTTTCAAAAAGTTGAAAAACATGACTCTCATACAAATATAAGTGAACACAGGCCAAAGATTTATTTTACTCATTAATGCGGAAAACAGTAGAATGGTAAAATAGGTTCAAAGAGCCATTTGAGGGATTAAGTATTTATAGGTACTGAGAAAAGAATGTTGGAATAAGATTGCTAGGTTACATATAAAACTGGTTCATATCTATAGGACAATAAAACAGTAACCTTTGGGATTATCTTTTCTACTGGACAGAAATTAGTTGTATTTCTACTGGATAAAAATCTACAAGTTAACATGTATCACAAAGTCTGGGCCCTAATCAGTAGTAAATAGTAAGTCAAACAGAGAAATATCTTGCTAGATAATGAAATATACCTTGAATGGGCCTTTTAGACAGTGTTCCAGAATGACACTGAAAGGACATGCAGTCTTCATTTTGCCTTGTTGTCAAGTTTTGGATAATTTCTTAACATTGTTGTTGCACCTGGTATTGTGCACATTCCCCTCCTAATACACTCAAATCCTGACACTGAGAAATAGAAGTCTTAGAATACAGTAAAGCAGGAGACAGAGCCACTTGCAGTAGATTAAAGTTGAATGCCCTTACCATGTGATAGGCATTAGTGCTTTGTATTCATGAACTCATTTCATATTCCCAGCAATCCTATCTCTGTTTTAGAGATGGTGAGACTGAGGCACAGAAAATTTAAATGACTTATCCAAGATCACACATAGTGACAGAACCAGGATTTGAACAAAAGTAGTTGGGTTCAGGTTGACCTCCTAGAGCCAATAGAGGGGTAGGGAATGGGGTGTCAGAGAAGAGAAATGTCTGTAGGTTTTTTCACAAGAGGAATGATATTTGTCCAAAAAAAGATAGGTAATATTGAGGATTATTTTTAGGCCTCAAAGAATTCCAGGCCAAGCTCTGTCCTTACACACCCTGCTATGTGGACATCACCAAGCTTCTTTCCTGAAAAGACAGTAGTCTCTTTCCAACTAGTATTCTGAGTCTTAGTTGGAGAAGAAGAGAGAAATGTTTTGATTTTGTAAGGAGCACTACAATTACTTATTTTTTGTAGGCATCTTTGGGGAGTAGGTTTATATGATAAGTGTGGCATTTAAATTGATTTCTTCTTCGTTTTTAAGATTTGAGTAGGATCAGTGAGGGTGGAGAAAGGGCATGGATTCATTCAGATGTCTCAGTCTCTGTCCTGTTCTAAATCCCTGCCCCCAGATTATCACTTCGTGTTTTTTTCTCTCTTAGCTATGGAAAGATTGTCTCCACTAAGGCCATACTGGACAAGACCACAAACAAATGCAAAGGTGAGAAAACAGCTGTTCCTTGGTGATAGAGAGCAATTGCGAGTGAGGCCATCCCTTGTCTCTCTGCCTTTTACTGCTGAAAGTCCCTAGTACCCAAGGCTAAGAGAGGAGTTTCTAAAGTTTTCAGACTTAGAAGAGCAGATATTTAGGCTCTTTGGTGACTAGATAGAGCTGAAAATGCTATTTTGGGAACCTGAGGTTAGAAGCCTGCACAGAGCCTTTGAATCCCTTGGGCTTTCTTTGGACCTCATGTTCCCTGAATTGGATGGTGGATATGGGCAGGTGAGATTCTCTCTCCTTAGCAAAGCATTGTAAATGCTTTTTGGTGTGTGTGTGTTGGGGGTGTGGGGGTGGTGGGGGTGGTGGTGACTTGGTAGGTATTATTTTTTGTGGATGAATAGTTTTGCTGGGGTTTTGAGTAGTTCTAGCTGGGGATGGAAGAGTGGAAGGAGGGTAAAGGTATGTAGATTGGGTGGGAAGGGGCTTCTTCCAGCAGGTGGCTGGTTATCTGCAACGGAGAGGTTGTATTTCTTATATGCCTAGCGTTTTGGGGGCATGGCTAGAAAAAAGTACAGCATTCTTTTAAATGTGGAGTGGTGGGTACTGTGGATTACTGGAAGAGCCTAGTTCCTGAAACCTCAGATTTCTTAATGGGGAGAGAGAAAGGAAAGGACACCACAAAGACCTTGTTGCCCTTGACATTCACAGCTATAAAGTAGATCAAATCTCTCGGGGGCACATGGATAACCACCTGAAACCTCTTAATTTCTCTTTCTCCCTACTACTTCTACTACATGGATCATAACTCTTCCTCTGTCTCCTGAAAATCCTGGGCCTCCTACATTCCCCACCTCTTAGTGATGCTATTTCCCTGTTCCAGGTTATGGCTTTGTGGACTTCGACAGTCCTTCAGCCGCACAGAAAGCAGTAACAGCACTGAAAGCCAGTGGTGTACAGGCACAGATGGCAAAGGTAAGGGAATTACCTCATGTCTATTCTTCCAAGGAGTGGTTAGCACCAAAGTCCAGTTCAAGGCTTCCAGAGGGGTTAAAAATTGTGAAGTTGATGGGCAAGGGCTATCTGCAGTGCTTTTCGACTGTGTCTGGGCCAGGGTCTCATTGAGCACCCCTTGGCTGCCAGAGGAAGGTGGTATTCAGAATCTGTGGCAGGTAGCTCTATCAACTCTTTCCTTTCATCAAGTATTATAAGCAGGCAAGAAGGTCAAGCGGCTTCTTCCCCTCCTCCTGTTGTTTCGCCATCCCTACCCTGGCTCTTCACTTCCCTACCAAACAGTAGTTTCGCAACATTCTCTGAAGAAGCCAGTTGTGGATCTCAGAAGTTCAAAACAATGGTCTCCACCACCCAACACTGTTCCCTGAGGGGTGGGGGTGGGGGTGGTTGTGTGTGTATGGGGGTGGGGGTGGGGAGCCACAGCAAGGAAGGAAACTGTCCCTTCTCAGATCTGTCTAGAGCTTTTATTTTCATCGAGACAAATAGGAAACTAGATGCTTTTCTCTCCCTTCTTTTAGGTGGGATTGTCTCCTTGCTTTTCTGAAGTCATTGTGAATGAATACTCTGTGTAAGCTATGAGGCAGGTGTCAGCCTCCCTTTTTATAATGGTCAAAGAAAATGGAAGCATTGAAGGGAAAGGCAGAAGAGAGATTAAGGTTGCTGGTGACCCACAGTCTAGGGCAGAGGGACGGCTTAAATTCTTAAAAATACCGCTATGGGAATTTATAGCAATTGTGTACATACTGCCCACTGGAAGGGCTCTCTCACCTCTTCTTTCTGAAGAAAAGCCCTCTGACAGTGGAGTTTAGAAGTCTTCAGGGTCCTATGAGACTAGAGCTTTCAGGGCTCCGTGGTGACTCAGTGAGCTATCCATGTGTCTCTTAGTGCAGCCCCCAGCACGTTGCCTTCCTGTTCCCCTTCTCCCCTCTTCCTGCTTTCCCTCCATCAGGGAATGAACTGACATTCCTACTCAGAAAAGTCTGCTGTGGCCGGAAGAGGGGGAGGGAGGATTACTCAAAACAATTCAGCCGGGAACAAGGCAGTCCAGGAGAATCCAGCCTCTGGGACAGGCTGTGGGGGGGCGGGGGGTGGGGGAGGGAGGAGTGCTGCTCTGCCTAGTTCTTAAAGAGACAGCCAAAACTTTATCAATGACTTGTATTATGGGCTTGTACAGTACTAGTAATAGTAAATCTTTTTTTTGTGTGTGCCTGGAATCAATATACAACCCATGGTAATGGGATTAAGTGTTACAAATAGTTGTTAAGATTCTCTTTTATGTGGTACCCTTCCTGCTATCTCTTGTCTGAGATGTCATTTTGTGGATGAGGGCTGAAAATGGGAGAGGGATAAGAGATGTGAGCTTCATTTTCTCACTTTTATTTTCATAGCAACAGGAACAGGACCCCACAAATTTATACATATCAAACCTCCCACTGTCAATGGATGAGCAAGAATTGGAGGGAATGCTGAAGCCCTTTGGTCAGGTTATCTCCACTCGAATCCTTCGAGACACCAGCGGGACCAGCAGAGGGGTTGGCTTTGCAAGGTGAGGGATGCCACGAATGAGAAATGATGAGGTTAATAAAGAATGTTACTTAGAGAGTCAACAAAAACCCATGCTCCGCCCCCCCCCCACAACGGACCAAACTATTAGCAAAAGCATTTGACAATATATCAAAAGTTCGTTTAATTATAGGTCACAATACTCACAAACGCATTTACCCCCAAATCTTTATCCTTTTCCTACTTCCTGCTACTCTAGCCTTTGTTCCTTTGATCCAGACCCAAACAGAATAAAACAATTCCATATCTTATTATAGTTTACTGAGTAGTTTCTCATCCTGTTATCTCATTTAATCATTACAGCAACCCTGTGAATATATACATTAATTCTCCATTTTATAGACAAAGAAACCAAAGTTCCCAATATGAAGTATTTTGCACAAGCTATCACAGGGGTAGGTGGTAGAGCTGAGCCCTAATCCTCTGGCTTCAAGATCAGTTAGGAAGATTTGGTCTACCTTTTCAGATCTGTTGAGAGACTTAGATTCTAAGACCAACTCTGCCACTAACTGCCCATGTGATACCCGACCTTTATGAACCTTGGTTTACTCTGTGAAGTGGAGATGGATTTAGATGAGTGATTTTCTTAAGGTGTTCCCTAGAGCTGCGGAGCTCTCCCTGGTGTCTTCTTCCGGGCTTAGGTGTCATTGTTGTAGGGTATCAGCTTTCCCTAGCCCACTTAAGAAATGTTTCTATTTTTATTTATCTTAAGATTTTGTTTGAAAGGAAATTCTGTTGCTTTTTTAAAAGTTTGAAAACTACTAGACTAAATAATCTAAAGATCCCTTTTTGTTCTCTAACCTCTTTTCTGGTCCAAGAACACTTCTTTATTCTGGAGTATTTCAGACCTTGGGAACTGGCAATAGGGCTTCTCTAGCCGACTCAATCTTGGTAGCACCACCTTCTGGCAATCTCCAGTATAACTGAAGGGGAGTTCCTAGGCTTGTGGTCATCACTTTTTCAGCTCTCATACTTTCTTGAAGCAGAGATTCCCAACCTTTTTCATCTCATGGCATCATAGTTGTCTCATTAGTTTTTTGCCCTAGACCAAAAGAACTACTTAACAGTTCAATTTATTAAGTAATTAAATGGTCTAAACAACTAAAAAAGTGTTCATATCTTAATTTTGTAGCTCTTTGAAAGAAATACATTAAAAGAAGATATTTTTATTTCATCCTTAAATAACTGTACTTATTATTGGGATGTGACCAGATGGACACCATACAACTTCCCAAACCTTGGAATCATATTGGACACTTACATCCTCATTTCCTGTTATGCACTGGTTTTCTTATGGTACTTGCCTGTTGTCATAGCAACCACTGAAAAACCAGTTTTGTAAAAAATAAGTTATCCAAAAAATAAGTTATCCAATATATTGTAGGGTGATCTGTTGTTGAAATGGTGAACTATTTAGACTTAGCTGCCCACACAGTATACAACATATGTTTCTATATTTTCTTCAGGAAGTTAAAATATCCTTTGCTGTGCTTCTGTAAGTTCATCGCAATGGCCCAGGATGTCTCAGAGCCCAGTCTGGGAACTATGGCTTTGAAGACTTGAAAAACTACGAAATTTCTTGCTAGTTTCTATGTTAATAACTACAGATTTTCTTCATACATTTAGATTCTTACTAAGTATGATTCCCAGCAAATTATAAACATTGATATTTTAAATCAAACTGTCACATTTTTAAATGTATCAAAATGAGATCTAAATGTCATAGCAATTTGATATACAAAATCATCCATTTTGAAAATACATAAGGCATTTAAAAAAATTCTTTGGTGATTATACACCAAAGCATTCTATGTAGAAAGCTAACAGGAAGCATTTTTTATTTTTGCTTATTTATTTAAATATATTTTAATTTTCAATTACAGTTGACATAATATTATATTAGTTTTAGGTGTACAACATAGTGATTAGACATTTATATAACTTACGAAGTGACCACCCTGATAAATTTAGTACTCTTCTGACACCATATGTTATGTTATTGACTATATTCGTTATGCTGTTCTTTACATCCCCATGACTATTTTGTGACTACCAATTTATACCTCTTAATCCCTTACCCCTTTCACATATCTCCCCAACCCTTCCTACATTTGGCAACCATCAAAATGTTCTCTGTATCTATGAGTTTGTTTCTGTTTTGTTCATTAGATTATTCTTTAGATTCCACATGTAAGTGAAATCGTATGGCGTTTGTCTTTCTCTATCTGACTTCACTAAGCATAATACTCTCTAGGTCCATCCATGCTGTTGCAGATGGCAAAATTTCATTCTTTTTTATGGTTGAGTAATATTCCATTGTATATATGTACCACCTCTTCTTTATCCACTCATCCATTGATGGACACTCAGGTTGCCACCATATCTTGGCTATTGTAAATAATGCCTCATTGAACATGTGGATGCACATGTCCCTTTGAAGTAGTGTTTTGGGTTTCTTCAGATAAATACCCAGAAGTGGGATTATTGGATCCTTCTTTGTCTGTTGTTTTAGCCTTTGTTTTAAAGTCTATTTTGTCTGGTATAAATATTGCTACACCAGCTTTTTACTTCATTTCTATTTTCATAAAATATATTTTTCCATCCCCTTTCAGTCTGTATGTCTTTTGATCTGAATTGAGTCTCTTGTAGGCAACATATGTAGGAACTTGTTTTCTTATCCATTCAGCCACCCTATGTCTTTTGGTTGGAGCATTTAATCCATTTACATTGAAAGCAATTTTCGATAAATATATAGTTATTGCTATTTTTTTATTCAAATTTTTATCTTTTTTTTCTTCTTAAAAAAGTCTTTTTAACATTTCTAGTAATACTGGTTTGGTGGTGATGAACTCCTTTACCTTTTTTTTTTTTTGGTCTGGGAAGCTCTTTCATCTGTCCTTTGATTCTAAATAATAACTTTGCTGGGTAGAGTAATCTTGGTTGTAGGTCCTTGCTTTTCATCACTTTGAATATTTTATGCCGATCCCTTCTGCCCTGCAAAGTTTCTGTTGAGAAATCGGCTGACAGTCTTATGGGAGCTCTGTTGTACATCACTGATTTTTTCTTGCTGCTTTTAAGATTCTCTCTTTGTTTTTAACCTTTGGCATTTTAATTATGATGCGTCTTGATGTGGGCTTGTTTGGATTCATCTTGTTTGGGCCTCTGCGCTTTCTGGGATTGTATGTCTATTTTCTTTGACAGGTTAGGAAAGTTTCCCATTATTATTTCTCCAAATAGGTTTTCAATAGCTTGTTCTCTCTTCTCCTTCTGGTACCTCGGTGATGTGAATGTTGGTGTGCTTGATTCCAGAAACCCCTTGAACTATCCTCATTTCTTTGTTTCTTTGTGTTTTTTTTTTTTCTGTTTTGATTGTTTTCTACTACCTTATCTTCTAAATCACTGATTCAGACCTCTACTTCATCTAATCTACTGTTGATTCCCTCTAATGTATTCTTTATTTCAGATATTATATTCTTCATTTCTGACTGATTCTTTTTTATGTTTTTTATCTCTATTTTTATGCTTCCTGTTTCTTTGTTGAATTTATTACTGAGATCATCGAGCATCCTTATAAACTGTGTTTTGAACTCTGCATCTGGTAGATTGCTCGTCTCCATTGTGTTTAGTTCTTTTTCTGGAGTTTTGTCCTGTTCTTTCGTTTAGGACATGTTTCTTTGTCTTCTCATTTTGGCTGCCTCTCTGTGTTTGTTGCTATATATTAAGTAGTGATGCTATGTCTCCCAGTCTTGGTGAAATGGCCTTATGTAGTAGGTGTCTTGTGGGACCCAGTGGCTCAGTCTCTTTAGTCACCTGAGCTGGGTGCTCCAGGTGTCTCGTGTGGGTTGTGTTTGCCTTCATGTTGTAGATGAGCCTTGGTTGCTGTTTGCATGTCAGTGGGAGGGATTGACCCATGGGCTGATTGGTTGTGATGACTGGTGGTGACTACAGTGGAGGAGCCGTTCTGTAGGGCAGTGGTACCCAACCTTCTTGGCACCATGGACCAGTGCTCCTATGAGAATCTAAATCCTGATGACTTGAGGTAGAGCTGAGGCAATAATGCTAGCCCTGGGGAGCAGCTGCAAATACAGTTGAAACTTGGCTTGCTCCCCCCACCACTCACTTCATGCTGTGTGGCCTGGTTCCTAATAGGCCATGGACCAGTACTGGACCATGGCCCGGGGGTTAGGGACCCCTGCCATAGGGGCTGACCCTACAGCAAAATTCGCTTTAGCAGGGCTCTAGTGCCTGCCCACTCTGCCCTTTGGGTGTGTCATCTGTGGAGGTGGCCTAATGGTCCTTGGCATGGTCCGAAGCTGACCACTGGGTGTGCGGGCCCTGGGGCCTCCTGGGAGGGCACCCCCCTCTGTAAGACAAGTTCAGCCGCTACCTGTGCCCTGCCCGGGGCCACCTGGCATGAGCCACCAAGCCATCTGCAGATGTCTTCCACCCTCGCTGGGCTTGGTGGTACCTGGGAGAGGCTAAGTTGCAAACTGAGGCCAGCTGCTGCTAGTGCCGGGTTGAGGCCACTTAGCAAGAGGTATGGGGCACGCCGAGGCCAGATGCTACTTGTTTGGAGTCCATGGACCTTTGAGTCAAGACAGGCTGTATGGAAATGCCACTGGAAGTGGCTTGGGTAGGCCTGAAAGTTGGGTGGGATCTCTGGGTATTTCTTTTTTAATAGTCTTAACTCTTAAATCTTTCTTATAGTGTTCCTGTTTTTCTTCCTGATCTTGTATTTCTATTTCATTTCCCTA